GTTTACAGGGACTTTGTTTTTCATCTGAGAAGCCTAAAATCAGCACAACGTCTAGGCCTCAGCCCACCTAATTGTCAGAGTGATACTGGCACCCAGGAGCTAGCTCATGCCCAAGTCTCCAGGCCTGCAATGAATACTGACAAATCCGTGGGTGTATTTGCCTAGCTCATTTCTGTGTCAGTTGTTGTTACAAGCGTTAGAATTATAACGTGTTTAGACTTTAATGAGAAAAATGCCAAGGTGCCCACTTAGGCCATGTCTACATTACCAAGAAGATCGAAGAAGCCATAGTTGATCTTCTGGGGTTCAAATTAGTGGGACTAGTGAGGACATGCTAATTAGAAATGAGAGAGCGCTCCTGTCAATACTGGAAGTCCTATTTCTACAAGGAGTAAGGGAAGTTGAAGGGAGAGTGTGCTCCCTTTGACTTCCTGAAGTGTGGACAGCACCAAAATTCACATTAAGATACTTTGACTTAAGCTCCATAATTAACATAGCCAAAGTTGAGTATCTTAATTCAAACTTATCCCCTCGTGTAGACTATGCCTAAGGGTATGTCTAGACTACATGGCTCCATCGACGGAGTCATGTAGATGAGCTTTGTAGACATAGCAAAATGAAGCGGCGATTTAAATAATCGTCGCTTCATTTACATCAAAATGGCTGCCGGGCTGTGCTGATCAGCTGTTTCTCAGCTCAGAGTGGTAGTCTGGGCACTCGGCGGTCGACATCAAAAGCCTTTGTCGACCGCCCTGGTAAACCTCATTCCATGATATGGGGGCCAGAGGGAGACAAACTGGCTTCCCCCGCCGCCGGGGAGACCGCGGCAGCAGCATGAGCACACTGCGTGGCCGGCAAGTTGTCAGGGGAGACTGCGGTAGCAGCGGGTGCGTGCTGCGGTCAGCAGCTTGGCCAGTGCTCCAGCTGATTCGCCGGGTGAGGCTCCACCACAAGCAGACGCCGGCACCGGAGAGGGCGTTGTGGGTAGAGCCTGCAGGGGCGGGGGAGGAGCAGATTCAAAAGATGCTGGCGCAGGTGTACTGGGGGAGGGCGCGTTCGAGCCCCGGGAGGAAAAGAGAGGCGCCCTTGGTCTCATAAGGGTGGCAGGGACCTTCGGATGGAGGTCAGTGGGAGACATGGATGAGGAGTGCCCAGGCCTCAGGCAAGAAACATACGGAATGCTTGGGTGCATGGGGGTGAGGAAGTAGCCCAGGGCAGGAGTAATTAGGAGGCCTGAGGGCTGATGAGTTGTGGCACGTAGCCCCATCAGCCAGGTGAGGGGAAAGCGGATATTTTCCCTCACCTTAGGGCCCTGGGCTGGGGCCTGGAGAGAGGGTGGGCCCGGGCCCCCCTCACACCCCTCTTGGGGTTAACCATAGGAACGAACCGGTCAATAAACACACGCCCGATTAGGAGGGGCGGTCAAGGAGATGTAAGGACACAGAGGCAGAAGGGGGGGGGAGGGTTGAGGACATGACCAAGGCACCCGGTGACACTGCCGTATAGCCATAACATCGAGGATTGAAAGTTCTAGCCTGAGGCCTAGAATTTACCCAGCATTTTGTAGCACTGCAGCCTGAATTCCGCAAATCCAAGTCAGACGATCCAAAACAGCTGCGGCTGTGCCACATGGCATTTACCGCTGTTTAGACGTGGCTGCTGTGTGTAACTCAAGCTCATAGTCTATGTGTTAGGAGGTATTTTGATTGTTAGTGTAGCCTCCAAGTGTGTTATATCCAGGTCAGCAAGTCAGTGGCCATGTGGAGAATGCGTTCGCTATATCAGACCTACCTAGAGCAGCAGCATCTGTCTGGGACTCCTGCTAAGAGTTCTGAAAAAAGCCAAGTGATCAGCCATGTCCTTCACCACCCCTCCGTCATGCTCCTCTGTTTGTCACTCTCATCTGGATGTTCAGGCTCTTTTGTATACATGCACCTCACCCTTCTGAAAAAGCTGTGTGCACCCTAAGAATAGGGAAAAAACAGTGTATGCATGAGCATGCATGCACACTAGCCAGCCAAACTGTCACTTTACCAGTAGTAGCGCACTGACTGCAATGGAACAGCAACTGGGTGCTGGAAAATACATCTATGAAACATGCCTGAGAAATCACCTAGCTCTGGAAAATGGGAGAATTCTTGTGCGTTAGCACAAACACAAAAGTGCAGCATTATATCTTGATACATAATGCTGACACAAATGTACATCTTGGGCTACATCTACACTGTAGCCTTCTTCCTCAAAAACTTTTGCAAATCAAGTGCGGAGTGGAAGATCGTCACGCTTCATTTGCATAATTA